TTAATCCCACGCTTGGGTGGGTCAAAATCTAGTATATTGTTATTCTGTAGATCTGATTCTTCATATGCTGAGTTATGAACATATTGAGTACTCCTATAAAACAATATGGTGTTGAGAAACAAAATAAATAAAAAATGAAATTTGAAGAAATCTGTGGGCTAAATTTTTATCTACAATTAATTGTTCTTTTTGTGCGCGTGGTTGCTTGAAATCAGGGCAAGGATTGAAACCAGATCCTCGTAACTCTAAGTGTAAAACTAGTGGGGTCTTTGATGGAAAATGCAGCCGTAGCGGAAACATGTCGTGCCAGAGCGAAATGGCGTCTGATGTGCTATCTAAAAATAGTAGATTTGTTGTTCCATGAGTTTATTCACAATGTAGCTGCAATCTGTTTGCATTTGGGTTGATTGAATCAAACCCTTTGTGTAGTGAAGTAGTTTTTCGATGAGATGAGAAAGGGTAATTGCAAGATTGTTCTGTTGTATTGTTGTTTGTATACATACCAACGTAAGCTATATTTACCAATATAAGATGGTACATATTTTGGAAGGTGGTACATAAATTTTGAAACAATCAAGTAAGTAATTAACAACAATAAGATGCATCAACTATTTTAAGAACGTCTATACAATCCGTATATCCTCAAGGCCCTGTAAAATTAGAAGTGGCCACCAATTACTTTTTGACCAGAAAAATCTAAAACCCAACAAAATTACAAAATTCATTTATCAAATCGAAAAGTGGAGTTTGAGAGACTTATGAACTGAATTTTCTCACCGGCGGCTGCATTTTTTTGCATTTCTAATTGTGTAAGATTGATTACTTGATAAACAAGTAAACCTAGACCCCGTAACAATATGGGCCCATCATTGGCCCACAATGTTTTTTTGGTCCGTATAAGACTAATTATTGGTTCGGTTTTGGTGGAGCTTTTACGTCCAATTTAGTGTGGTTTTTGTTCTTCCGTTTGTTGTATATAAAGAGGAAAAGAAAAGTGCTTTAGTTTTTGGGGTTTTGATATTATATAAAAGGAGATTTGTAATCATCGAATTCTAGTTCATAGATTTTCTTCAGTTGTCATATAATAGATCAGTTACATCGATCATTCGTTGAGACTTCAAGTTGAAACAATGACGAAGATTTCCAATCTTCCAAGGGATTTGGCGGAGGAGGTGCTCTCTAGGTTTCCGGTGATATCTCTGAGAAGAGTCCGATCAACTTGCAAAAAGTGGAACACTTTATCCAGATGTAAAAGCTTTGCAAAGATGCACCTTGGTGGTCAAGCAAAAGTAACAGCCAAAGCAAAAGAGTTTATGGTGGTATGGATTTTAGGGTTTAGTTGATGAGAGTCAATCTTCACAACAACAACGTTGAATCATTTATAAAGCGTGAAGGTAAACTTATTAGCTTAGGAGATTCAAATCAAATCGATGTACGTCAAGTGTTTCACTGCGATGGTCTATTGTTATGCATTACCAAAGACAACTCTAGGCTCGTCGTTTGGAACCCGTATTGGGGGCAAACCAGGTGGATTGAGCCTACACATAAATTCCCCAGACTGGATATGTATAAGTATGCTCTCGGATACAACAAGAGCAGCAAATCACACCAAATCTTGAGCTTTTATCATGAATCCTGCTCTGCTTTTCTCG